TTTTTATTACAGATTATTAATATTAAAATATAATAGATGTTACTAAAAAAAAATAAATAAATACAATTTGTGCATCATGGTATAAACGACCTGCTAGGGACATATAAAGATTAGATTGAGATGGAACAGCTGAAGTGGAATGAAGGCTGATTTTCTCTGAACGATGATAACAAATGAACAAAAAATTAACGTGAAGGAGATGTTGTTACAAATGCAAATTATATTATATTCCATCTCGCGTATAATGAATAAATAAACGAATATTTTAGTTTTTACCCAAGTTCGTGTATACCATGATACAATTTTCAAAGTACTATTTAGAATTTAATCAATTTAGCGCTATATTAATGCATTTTTCAATTGTGTTTTTAAATGCATTCTTTATAAGTACAATAACACAACGGATTGAAAACATAAAGTGTATGTATTTATCGTCGCATTCTTCGAATATATTTTATATTAAATACTATTCTTATATCCTGATTCCTTTTACATCGTGTCGATGATATAGACATGTTGTATTGTTATTCTTACAATACGAAACAAAAATCTTGAGAATTTTCATAATCTTCTAATAGAGGAAAATAGTAGACGATTGAACAATTAAGACATTAGAACAGTAACAAAGTACTTGTAAAGAATGCTGGTTTCACGGACTCTTCGTAATCACATTGTTGCCTTTATATCAATTATAATATATTTTGTAACGACGGTAATACGAAAAACAAATGGTGGTTCGGTTCGTTTTTTAAATTGAAAATGAGAGAATACACGCTTTTACGACAGAGAATGGCGATGGTTAATGCGTTTGATCAAGACCTAGAAAAGTATTTCATTTTTATTCCACAACAACCGAAGGCACACTACGATTACGACGAGCCTTGTGAAAATCTAGGAAAAATATTCCTGAACGATATAATATTGAATATTATAAACAATTACAATATATATATAAATATATATATATATATACTATTTTACTTGTAACAATAACACGATTAAAATATTAATAATTAAGGACATAAATTATTGTGAAAGCAACAAATTTAGCTACAAAATAGGGTAATAGGAGAGTAACAAAATAAATTAATTAGCTAATATTGTGTACTAAAGAAAACACATACAGTTGAATATTTATATAATACTGCTCCAGTTGTTGGTTTCAGTGATCGTTTTTCTTCCAACACATTTACATCTTTTGCACACGGAAAGACATTAATTTTCGAACGATTAGACATTGAACAAATTTATATAAATCAGAGAATTATAAACAAATTCTTTTTTCTTTTATCTTTTGCTCTAGCTTAACATTTATATGATAAACGATTATAAGTATTTTATACATCCGACTTCTTTTTACTTTTATTACTACTACTTCTACTACTACTACTACTATTATTATTATTACTATTATTATTATTATTATTATTATTACCATTAAATATTATTACCACTATTATTATTATTCTTAATGCGAAAAGGAAACGTATCGTATCGCTTGTTTGGATCTGTGCACAAATAAACCAACAATAGGGCAAATCAAATTGAACAATATATTTTTGACAAGTTACAATAATACAGATGCAAAACATTAAATGCTCTGTTTTGTGCGAATGATTCTTCTCCTGTGTTGATCATTATTAGAGCCAGAAGAACCATGTTACGAACAATTGTTTATACACTAGTTGAACGTTACAGAGATTGCCTGTTGCTTCGTTTTCTTTTGTGAGTATTCGTGTTCAAAGAGAGAAAGAAAGAACGAACAAACGAAAGAAAGAAAGAAAGAAAGAAAGACAGATAGACAGACAGATAGAGAAAGGAAGGGAAGGAGATAAGAAAAAAGAATGAAGACGAAGGGTTTCCTAACGTCAAGGAAGAATTATCTGCACACTCCAGATGGCAAAATACCCATACACATAATCATTAGATTACTGTACAATAAATAAATTACGTAAAATAGTAATATGTAATATCTAAAAACAAATTTGCTGAACATTTATATTACAATTTATAACTAAAGATACTTGCTATAAAACCACGTATCACCTTTAATCACTTGTAGTTTTGATATAATGACTAAATGCATTTGTTATTTAGATAGTTAGTAGCAGTGCGAATTCCGACGACAAGAGCACTCTGTCTATACAAAAGAGAACTTCGTTTTATTCAACCTAGAATGTGTTCTTGTTTGCAACAATGACTACTGTTCGTTCCGAGATATGGTAAATTCGAGGTCACTCCGCCTGTTACTTTCCTTCGATTATTAACTATTAACTATTACACCGTATTACTTGTTCATCGTCTTGTAAAACACTTACTTTCGATACTTCTTCTTCACTCGCATCGTTTCTTTTATTCTGCAAACGTGGACACATTGCTGACAATGATCCGATTTCTTTTATGTGTCTCGTCTTACTGCGATTATTATGTAAACGTACGCTCTTTGAAATATTCGTATTATTGTCCATTATAGTATCGCAAAACTGCTTAGATCGTAGACTTGTGTGTATTTTTATTATACGAGCTTTTATTGGCGATTCCCTTCGATTGTCATAGTCGGATCTCTCTCTGTTTTCGCTTTCGCGACGATACGCATTCTTGATCAGACTGAAACAAATGCGAACATTTACATAAATATGGGTGAATGAAAAATATAATAACACTAACACATTAGAAAAAGCAGCAACAAAAACAACAGCAAACAAACAAAAAATAGTAAAAAGAAAGATCGAGTTCTACAGTACTGATATCTAAGCATTTTTGTATTAAATACGAGGTAGCAAATGGCTGTACAACTGTGATTATGTAATAACAATTTCTCTACTTAGATCTTATCATTCGGTATGTCAGTATCTACGAAGATATTCAACTATTTTACATACGAGAACGAACAAGGCTGTAAACTTTCAATTGTGAGATCACACGTTGAAGAATATTTGATACTCATCCCGAATGGTTGAATTATAGCGGTATTAACAAATAAACTAAGGAAGGGGAACACTTCTTTCCACATGTTTCAGTAGAAATTATAGCAAGCCCATACAACTTTTGTATGAAAGTCGTCGTGAAGATACTCGAGCCCGAGACCGATCACACTTTAATCGCAGTGTCACATTGTCTTGGCATGTTAATTACAACCCTGCGTTCTACATTTTAATCGGCGGTCGATCATCCGTGAAATAATATGTGCCGCGGAAACGATGAAATTATCGTTGTCGTTGTGAACATTCTCTTGAAGAACGTAACAGTCATTTGCATCCTCCTATTTTAACATTAATGCCTCGTGTGTCAAAATAATGTTTCCATTTGAAACGG